GGCATGTAAAAGAGTTCACAAACTTTGAGTCTAGAGAGAATGCCAATGTTGTCACGAGGCCGAGATGTGCTTTCTTGACAACACTGTGTACCCGCATGCTAGCAGAACTTACTATCAAAATATCCCCTTGTATAGTTCCTCTGCGATACATTCAATTGGGGTTGAAATCAAATAAGGAGGTACGACAAAGTAAGCATATCTGGTTTGCACTTTGCAATCAGATTTTCTAAGGTGAGAAATATGGAGAAGAAAAATAAAAAGGGCAATTTCAATAAGCGAAATCCAAATAGAGTGCCTTTAAAATATTAGAGAAAAAGGAACTGAAAAATGGGAGTCAAAAATCGTATTCTTTCTTTTTGTTTTTTCTTTTTTGAGCGGTGATCGTATTCTTATTCTTACACTGCCAGAAGCTTTCCATCAGGCGATACATTAAATGCAGATATTGGATCTCGGGAAACATGTGTTGAACTTATACTTTTCCAAGAACTAGTGTTCCACTTTATCATACAACCACCTTTATCTGTGGATATAGAAAACAAAAATGGATAGGTGTGATCACCAGTAAAATTAATTTGGACATAAAAAAATAAAGTACAGTCAGAAAACCTCTCATTGCTGTTATATACAGAACTTGATCTGTGCCGCTACTCCGCGAGAACCGGCAGAAACCGAAAATCTCATCCTGGAGTAGGAAAAGAAATTTGGAGATCAGGATCATCAATATGTTCAATAGGTAATTCAATTTATTAGCATTATACTATTTTAAAGGAGAAAAAAAAAATACATTCTGCTTTGGTAGAGAAGCTACAGATGTTGATGTTGAGACATTCCATATCCTTGCAGGGCCGCTTCCCACGGAGACGAGAAACTTCCCATCAGGACTGCAGGAGACAAACAAAGGAAATAAAATGGAAACTTCATCCTTCCGTAACAATTGTGACTCCTAGCATCAATTTCCATTGGTGTGTGTATATTGTAAGAGTTTGCGGAGAACCTGAAATCTAAATCTTTAACAGAAGCATGAGCATTGGCCTCGTCAAGGGTGTTTTCCATAGAAGGCCACTTAAAAACCCTTAACTTGCCATCCTGTGCTGCACAAACATGAGATAATAAAACAAAACATAATGCAAATAGGACACAAGGTTGTACAATGCGGACTTTAACTTCTGTGAACTGTAACCATATAGGGATCTAGTAATTCAATTTTATCCATAAACCACTCCAAGAGAAGCATAGAACCTAAAGCCAAAGAACCAGAAAAAAAAAAAAAAAAAAAAGATGTATGGATGTCGTACTTAAGATTTCCATCCACATATCATGTTTGTTTGAAATTTTAAAAAAAGAAGGAAAAATAGAACTTCAAGAAGTTTGGAAATCACCATTCTCCAGTTTTTAGTTTCTGTTTTCATTGTAATTATAAAAAGGAATCAACTGAAAGCTATAATTCGTATTTTCAGCCCTATATAACCTCTGCACCACTTGTCAATCATATTGTCATCTTTTTATTTGAGATTTACTCATACATATCTCCCCGTAATAGTGCCCAGTTTCGTACTTAAATTAGGAAAGTGCACCAAAACTAAAGAAGATTAGTTAAGAGCAATGCAAAATTTTACAACCATCATCTACCCCTTTTCATTAGCTGCACAGCGTTTTAGAGAAAAGTCAAAGTTGGCATGACAATTACGACCATGATTAATGCATAAATGTGCTCCACACCTAGGATAAACTTTATAATGAACAGCATGTCATGATATTGATATATAATTCTTTTACCTCGCCACCAACAGCAAGTAAATTTCCCTCACTGTTGAAGGTCATAGCTAATTGTTGCCCAACATCTTCCAATTGAACAAGAGTTTTCTCTGATGACTTCAGATTCAAAGTATGATCATCCTTGCTAGTGGTCGAATCCCACTCAAACCATCTACACGGTAACAAAAGATTATAAGTCAATGCCAGATATTTGGTATTATCTCAAGTTCACAGCAGATGATCAAGTAAGCAACAAAGTGATCTGAGGGCATAAAACTACGGAAAACACTTAAATTAAAAATCCGTGCTACTTATACTTTTGAATGATTTCTTAGCTTGTGAAACGTTCCACAATAGAATTGAACTAAAACTAAAAGATTGCACAATGGGGAGAATTTATCAATTAATCATGGAAAAGGCAAACACTCTGTAAAGTATCTTTCACCGGCAGGAAGGAAATTATAACAAAAAAAAGAAAGTAAAATCCAGATAAAACTTCACAATTTCCAATTTGAAGTACATTGTTTCCAGTTGGTCATGATAGATGCCTAAGCTGAGATTTTAATTTCACACCAAGTGGCGAATCAGAGGAGTCCTAAGCTGAGATGCATATCAATAAACATCAGCTAACATATCGGGGCTGAACT